CGCCGCCCGCCCCCGGCCCCCCCGCCTCGTTTTCCTGCTCCGAAAACATCCTACCGGGAGGAAAAACGGGCAGAGCGTGAACTTGACCCCCCCCGCAGGGCAGCACCGGGGCAGCAGAAGGGGCTGGTGACCCACCCCGGAGGGGCTTCGTTTCCCCCGGTGACCGCTCGGGGTCTGGGCAGGCAGAACCAGCCCCTGCCCACCCGCGGTCAGTCGGTCTGGGCAAGGACCCGAGGGTGACCGCGGCCGGGAGGCCTTCTGGCAGCAGTAGGTGACAAGGAGGGAGAGCTGACAGTCCTCTCTCAAGAAGGGGGACGGACAGACAGACTTCTCTCCTAGAAAAGGGTCACTCCCTTTAGTTTGAGTCAGAACTTACTGCACAAACAATACCGGTCTTGTGGGCTTGGAAAGAATCTTTGTGGCTCCCGCTGACAAATTCTGACCTATGGGATTGGGCTCCAGCTGCTGCACAGAAAGGACATTCCCACAAGTGAGGAAAAGTCCGTCCCCCGTCCCCCCCCGCCAAACTGGGCTCTGACACCTACTAATTTCATCGTAACCCAGTGCAAGAACTAGTAAATAAACTGAGGGTATTTCCATGGGAACTCTGAATGTTTAATATGGAAAATTACAGAACATCAACACATTTTTTGCGTAGCTGCACATTTTCCATGAGAACAGCCGCAGCGACACACTGATGCTCAGTCGCTGCCAGGAAGCCGTTTCATTTATACTTGGCGTGGAGAATGAACAGGCGGGAAGCAGTACTATGAATCCAGAAACCGCCAGCACGCGCTGTGGAAGCAGATGGACAATCACGCCCGCCTTCACTTCAGGTTCTTAAAGAGTTTGTGAGCAACCTGAAAAGAAGGGACAAAGCAGTCAGTAGCTCATAGTTTAGGGCTGGAAATCAGCAGCATGTTACCAGCCACCTCTTGGTTTTCTGGGCCACTAATGCACATGGCCCCACAGCCCTCCACTCTTCTCATTGTCTTGCAACAAGTCACTCAAGAAAACTAGCAAGCTGAGAGTTCTTAGAAAGTTTCATCTCAGGTTAAGAAGGTTTAACTTTAAAAGGGCAAATACAACACTAAGAGAGCAGAGTGTCATTTGCAGGGCAGAAACAATGCATTTGACTTATTTCATTGTTTAATAACCTACCGAATTCCAGCTGGAACTGTTGTAACAAGGAGGAACCAAACATTTAGCAAGAAAAAGCATCAAGGCTCGCAGTTCTTCCGAGCTCACTGTGACTGAACAGCTACGTGAGCTGTCTGCACTCTCAGAAGTGCAGGTAAAGGCAGCTCTGCTCCCAGCACCAGCAGGCAAGTTGCATCCACGGGTGCCGCACTTACGCAGTGGTCCCTGGCGTGCAGGAAGTCAAAAAGCTCCTCTGTGCACTGCTCTTCTGTCTGGGACCTGGAGGACACCCGCGCATCACACAGCTCCAGCCGCTCCCGCGCCTTCACGCATTTCTCCGTCTGCTCGCAGTGCTCCCGGATCGTAGTTAAAGGATCCTGCAGACACGGGGCTGCGGTGAGAACAGGGAGACCCCGAAACGCCGTTCCTCCCGCCCCGAGACCCATCGCTTTAAGAGAGATCCATCCACCCATATCGAAGCCCGGATTCAAGCTGTCTCCCCGCTAAGCTCTGGATCGCCAGCACAGAGCGGCGACGGGGGCCCAAGCCCCTGCCATTTTGCTTGTGGCCGCTGAAAGGCACCGGGCATCTACCCCTGGGAGCCGCGGGTGGCCGCAGAGGCTACGGGCCTCCCCCGCCGCCACCGAGGCCCGCCAGCTCCCCGGGCAGGGGCGGCCCAGGCCCTGCCCCGGCCCCGCTCCCCGTCTTACCACCAGCTCTTCCTCCTCCTCCTCCTCCTGGGGAAAAAAAAGAAAGCACAGCCGTTAACCCACCGACCGGCGGACCGCTCGCCCGCGCCCCGCGGGGCTGCGGCCCGGCTCACCTCGGGCTCGCCGGCGTGGACGACGGTGTCGCGCAGCCCCATCCCTCCGCTCCCGCCGCCCAGAAGGACTCCGCAGGGTCACCCGCCGGAAGGGCCGCTGTCCGCCCCGGAAGCGGAAACGCGCCTGCAGCGCGTTGGGACCGCCTCCCCGGAGGGTGGTGCTTCAAGGCCTAGGCCCCTCCCTTCCAAACACGGCAGCCGTGACCGTCTCAAGATGGCTACCTCCCCGTTCCCTGCCTTCTTTTTGCCCTTCTTCGTGGGGATCGCAACCTCGGAGCCGGCTCGGCCTGGCTGCCGCTGCCGGCCTCTCCGGCCCCGTGCGGGAAGGGGGCGCCGCTCGACGCGACCTCCCCAACATGGCCGCCCGCTCACTCCACCTCCCAAGATGGCGGCGGCAGCAGTGGCGCGCGGGAGGGAGGGAGGAAGGGGTTGCGTCCCTTCCCAAGATGGCGGCGGCGGTGAAGGGGGCGATGGCGGCGGAGGGGCCGCGCAGCCTGTTCGCGCTGAGCGCGGCGGCGGTGAGCCGCAGCATGGGGGCCCTGGAGCGGGACGTCTGGGGTAAGGCGCGGGCGGCGCGGGGCGGCGGGGCGCGGGGCCTGGGGCCTGCCCGCACCCTGCCGCCGTCTCCCTCTGGCTCTCCGCAGCGCTGCCCGGGCACCTCCTGCGGGGGCTCCTGCCGCTTCTCACCGTCTTCCGCCTCGAGCGGGCCGAGGGCGCCGCCCGGAGAGCAGGTGACACCGGCGGGGACGGCGACAGACCCGTGGGGGTACCCCCGGGCGGGAGGGACGGGACCCCCGGAACTGATGGGGTGGGCAACCCCCCCCACGCGCGCACACACACACACTGCGGGGGGGGATGCCCCCCGCCCTGGAGAGATGAGCCCCACACCGGAGGGACCCCCGGCTGGAGAGAGGAACCCTCAGCTGGGGGGACAAACCCCTCCAGGCTGGAAACGGGAGCCCTGGGCTGGAGGGGTGAAGGGCTGGAGGGGTGAAGGGCTGGAGGGGTGAGCCCCTCTACTAGCAGGGGGGACACGGCACCTCCAGAGCTTGGACACCCCTCTGCATCCAAAACCTTGAGCCCCATCCCGCACCCAGGCAGGGCTCACGCCGGGGTGCGAGCCCTGCTGTACCTTTGCTCCTTTTGAGGACCGACAAAACCTGCCGGTTTTTAACCAGTGTCCCATTCAAGGCAGCGGTCTTCCTTCTCCTCGCTGCAAAGCACCCTCCTTGCACTGCAGGGGTCTGGGTCTGCTCTGCGCCCCTGTGAGCTCCGGGGCAGGGCACTCTGACGGGGAGAAGGGGTGAAAGTGCCTGGTTGATTTTTTTTTTTCCTCCCCCAGGTCTCTCAACGCAGCCCATCTGGCGTAAGCTGTGGGACGATGTGATGAAAACCAGGCCGCCCAACTCGGAGGTGAGGGGACACTGCCAGTGGGAGAAGGGGCACAATGCAGGTGCCCTGTTTCTGCCGTTTTCCGCGAGGTTTCGGTTTCTAAGCCTGCCGGTGCCACTGGCTGCCTCCGAGCGGTTGCTGGTGCTTGCTTATAAGCATTCATAGAGCTCCGGACCAAGGCGTGACCCCGGTAGTACAATTATTTAGGGAAACGGTGTTCATAAAAGGAACCGTACTGCACAGCCACACCATCTCACAACAGTGAGTTTGCCGAAAGAATAAATCCTGCCTTTAGAGATGTAATTCTTGGGAAAACGGAGAATAAAAACAGTATCTTATGTCATGCTTACACCTACGCTGGCAAAAAAATGTGCTGATGTCTTAGAAAACACTAGAAAAATACAGGAGACGGTGAGTTTGGGAGAATGGTTTTACGTAGGAAAACTGAAGCAGATCCATTGATTCAGCATTGCAAAAGAATCACTAACAGACAACTTAATCACAGCTTATAAAGAGATGCTCTGGAAGAAGATTCCTGATGATGTGGTTTTAACAGGCAAAAATGCGGCTTAGCTTCAAACCACTAAATATGTTTAAATGAGGCCAGAAGCAGGATGAAGAGAGAGCAATGGGAGTAGCTCAGTTTTTCAACAAATACACTGAGAAAGGGTGTTGAGAGCTGGAAAGGTAGTCTCAGTTGTGCTAGCAGTAGGTTTTTTTTGGACGCTACATTTGCCAGGTTAGCAGTTAGCAATAATTTAACTTAAAAAGAACGAGAAAAATTGTGGCTGACTTTTTTGTTAATATGGCCCTGTTGTTTAATTGCAGAATATAACCTGTTGGAGGAAGAAGTTCCTTGAAACATTCTTCTCAAACGTTCTTCACGGTGTCTTGGATGTTTCCTCTGACTGGCGTCTCAACGACCATCACTTTTCACCGCTGCTCCACAGCTCCCCGCATGTTTCTCAGCTTACCCTCTGCAACATGCTGCAGGGCGCAGTGGAGCTCACTGCTGAGCACAACCAGAAAGTGCTCGAAAACCTGGCTAGCTCCCTGCGGATCCTGAAGTTCCAGCACCTCCTCTCCTCCGACCAGTCCATCAGGCGTTCGCTGGTTTTACTTCTTCACCGCCTGATTCACCATGGCTCCGTCAGCCAAGTGTCCATGTATTCCTGGCCTGTTCCCGACACAGTTCTTCTCGTTCTCATTTTGAGCATGAGTGCTGGGTTTTGGCGCTCAGGAAACGCCCTCGCGCATCACAGCGGCCCTTGTGGCCTTTGCAGAGAGGAGGACAAAGCCCAAAGCCAGGAGTCAGCACAAGAGCAAGCAGAGAGGGGCCGTTATGATGAGAGGAAGTGGAGCGATGGTGAGAACCAGAAGGGATCCCCCAGGGCCCCGGTGGAGGCTGATGCGGAGGTGAATGGATACGGGGCTGACACTTGCCTGAACTCTGTCCTCTCCAGACCAAGAAGTCCTCCTCTGCAAAACCAGTCATGTGAGGAGGCAAGCAGCAAGGTGCCCTGTGACCACACCAGCAGTCAGGGAAGATCTCCTCGTTGCATCTCAGAGCAGCTGTCCCGTTACCCTGTTATTCGAAAGACACGCAGACGGCTGAAATCTGCAGTGGGGAAGAAACGTCGCTGCCTCAGACGAAGCAGGGGACCATATGCTGACCCAGAAGACCTGTATGATTTTGTTTTTACTGTTGCTAGAGAGGATAATTCAGGGTTACTTGACAAAAACAGCACCACAGAGGAAGAAAATGCTGAGAACTGGACTAGTTCCTCCCCAGGATCTCCGTGCTCTGGCCATGCTGGCTGTAAGAAAAGAGGAGGATCTGCTGGCATCTTTTCTCTGAAAGCTGCTCACCGCTTCCGAAGCGTGTCCACGCTGGAATTGTTCTCCATTCCTTTGACTGGGGAGACATGTCGGACTCTGAGTAACCTGCTGAGCTCCTGGGTATCTTTAGAAAACTTGGTTCTGTCTTACAACGGTTAGTGGTGTCAACAGGTTGCTTCCTTCCAGCCTTGGTTTAATGGTCTGACTTATCGCTCAGGTTTACCCTGATTTTATTTTTACTAGAGTGGGCATTGTAAGAGTATTGGTACCCAGTCCTGAGAATGGCATCAGTAGAGATAGTTTAATGAGCATGAGGACTTGTCTGAGGGAGAGAATGGGGCCCTTCTGCCCCAGAACAGC